TGCAAACCGATCCATGCACCTCGCTCGGATCAGGCGCGTCGACACATTCTCCCACACGCTGGTGTAGCATGACGAATCGTACTCAGCGCGGGTCAACTCCTGCTCGTGGTCCTCCTCCCTGCTGCTCTCGCCAGAAATCTCGGCCGGGGGCTCAAAATAAACCTCACGATGAATAGGCATGTCCTGTCTCATTCCCGTTATGCTTGTCCTCTTCAATAGCTCGCGCAATACTTCATCGACTGATGGTGTCACCGGTGGCTCATCCGCGGGTTGTTCTGGCTCCCGCTCTTGTCGCTCCATCAATATGTCCAAGCGAGGCTGAACCTGCACCACATGATTGAACCTGTACCGCATGATTGGGAAACTGCGTGAAACATCGCGTGAACCGCGCGAAGGATGAGCCCGCCCACCCCCGAGGTGCACCTGAACCCCCCGAGGTGGTCCAAACGATCCTTGTCCCCCAGCCGCCTCCATTGTAGAACACGGGGTGGAAAGCTACTCCGTGCGAGTGGACGCGGAAGCCGAAGTCCTGCACACCTGACATCGCAGGCCGCCCTCGGACAGAGAATGGGCGGAGTGAAACATGGCCACCGCCGACGGAACAACGAAGGAACTGGTTCCAGCGGGCAAGGAAACGGGAAAGGGGGCACAGGCACAACAGGAGCGGGAGCGGGGGCAGACGAGGGCTCAGAAACTGTACCCTTTTTCTCGCGACGGCCAAGTTAGCGGCCACCGCCTCCAACGAAGATCTCATCAAACGCTTCCGAACCATAGCCGCCCTCCTTTCGGCGCCCCAAACTCTGAACCTCTCTGATTAACTGGGGACCTTGCCTCTTCTGCCGCAAATTCAGCTAACTTGTCAACTGCATTGTTGCCCGCGATCCACCGACCAAGCAACCCCCATTTCACGATCTCGGACGGATCCATGTGGGACGTCGGGGAAGGAAGCAGGGGGAGGAAGGAAGCAGGGGCGGAGGAGGACAAGCAACAACAACCAAACGAAAGGGACTGCGGATCGACCGCGTCTGGGGGGCGAATGAGGTCACGCAAGAGCTCCGCGGACTTACGGCGGCCACGGCCCTCTGTCGGGCAGCCCAGAAGCTGGTCCCAACGGGTCACCCACCGCACCTCTGGCCCTGTGATGCACATGTAATGAACGCTGGAGCTGTTCTAGTTGTCGGCTGCGAGGCCGAGGCAGGAGAGCGGCTTCCGCGGGAGACGAGGTAGATGACCGAAGGCGGGGCAAGAAAGGCAGTGCGCGAACTCGGGTCAGGGTGGGCACAGCCAGGCAAGCGGTCGCCATGCCCGCAGATGTGGATTCGGTGGCTGGCCGCCCGGCCGCCTGCGAGTGTGCTCAAAAGAGCCCACTGCCAATCGGGAATGCCTGGGCTGCGCACGACCCCTCCCCCACCGCTCGCCAAATCGCCCTGTCAGGTTGTCCAGCAGGAGCCATGCAACAAGGCGCTTTGGACTCGCGATGCTAAAGAAATCAGGGAATGAGGATGGCACGAAGCGAGGATGTGGTGACCCTCTGGACTGTGAACTCCCGCCCTTCAGACATGGCGGTGGCGGCATCGGTATGCCCGCTGCTTGCCGAGCTGCGCGACCAATTGGCACCTGACATGCCACGAACCTGCGGCCGAACGGAGAAGGAAACAACAAACAAACGCTATGTGCCGTGTATGCTTCCTTCCAGCACCGCGCACTTCAGCGTCTGCGGATACACCGCGCGAAAGAAGAATCGGTCGGACTGCAGCTCCTCTCGCCCGCTCTAGCTTGTCCCCCTGGCTGATCAAGGCGCGGGTTAGCGCTCAGCGCGGGCGACGGCGCCGCGAGCAGAACCACGCCTGGCAAGCGAGAAGGCATCGCATCTGCGAAGCCAGATCGGTGGAAACCTTACAACAAGCTCATACGTTAAGAAATCTTGAACATACATCTACGGGCACGTTCTTCGTCGACTCTGAGCTTCGCAAGGTGCCCCAGGGTTCTGCGGGCCCACTTGGAGATACGAAAGCATCTTTGAGCACCACTCGGCAGGCGAGTTCTCCTTCAGTAGGACCGCTCGGTCCATTGAAAAAGTTGGGAAAGATGAGCGGGCGTTGACAGGGCAATTGTATTAGTATAGCTGGACGCTGTAACTGGAGAGGCTGTCATCGGAAAGGACTGCAAAAGAGCGGGGCCACTATTTTGCCGCGGCCACGGCCCGAACGTTCGCATCTGTGCAAGGCAAAACTGGCCAACCAAATAATTAGCAGACGACGCGGTCTTGACACCGCGCCATGTTAGGATGTGAGACGTAAGGGAACTCTGGGATCACTGTGCACCTTTTCATGCGAGACCTCCGCCCAGAAGAGGGACGATGACTCGGGAGACCAAAAGTGACCTATACCACCTCTGCTCCCCGGACCTTTCCCTGGGTGCGTTCTGACCACGATTTCGAGGCGAGTCCAGCGGTGGCGACGAGGGCCTCCCAGCAGGCATGGTTCGCTCGGAAGTTTCGCTTGCCCAGCTGCTCCGCTGCAGCAGGGATGGGGCAGGCGAGCCCGAGGGCCGCCGAGCCTGGCTGCGGCTGCGCCACCGCCCGTCGCTCGCACACCTCGCACGCGAGCGCCCCCACAGACGGAGCAGGCATCTGCTCGACGAGGTTAACAAAGACGGCGTCTACGGGGGTCGACCAACACGTCGTTTCGCGTTTTCGTTTCGTGTTGCGACGCTCTGAAACGAAGACGGCCCGACCGATCGCCAGACAGGGCGCTTAGGCGCAAAGCCAAGGCCGTGGTTGGCCCGTGGCGGGCCCTGCAGCGGGAACAGCACGTAGACGAAACGAAAACGAAAACGATGTACGAGATTGGCAAAACAACTTTTTGGTCTACCCCTGGTTAGAAACGAGGGCAATAATATGCAGGCGGCAAGAGGGCAACCTTACACCGCTCGTGACTGTAGATGAAGCGTGAAGCACACTGCTCCTTGCGCTGAAGCAAGAGCTACGAGGGAAGACGCAGAGGGAGGTGATGAAGTGAACATCGCCCTGCGAAAACCGCGAAAACCTGACTTACCTAGCACTACCGAGAGCCACTTATGTCTGAGGCCCGGGAAGACCGACGCGAGTGCAAGCCCGACCTGGGGCGTGTGTCGGCCCTTTCTTGAGCGCTCGTGCGCATCGTTGCCGCGCCTAGGGCAAGAGCACGAGGACGCAGACGAAGATGAGGGAGGATGTTGACGATGCGCACGAGGAGGGCGCAGGGGAGGACCCCACGCCCCCCACGCGAGCGCCCCGCGGGGGTGGCGCCGTGCGTCGCCGTCGACGGCGCCGCCGTCGTTGGCTGAGTCGCCGCCGTCACCGCCGCCGCCGCCGTCGTTGTCGGCGCCCGCACCGCCGCCGACGACGACGTCGTTGGTTAAAGTCACCGCCGTCGCCGCCGCCGCCGACGTCGTCGCTGGCGGCGTCGCCGTCGACAACGTGGGCGGCGAGCGGCGACGACGGCGCGCGGACAGGGCCGCCGAAGCCGCCGCGCGGGGGAGAAAGGCGGGCGGCGCGCGCGCCAGCTTCCAGGCGCCGGCCCGACAGGCGCAGTGCAGCGGCGTGCAGCCGTCCTGGGAAGGGGGCGCAGAGGCGGGGTACCTCCTCCTTTTCCTCCTCCTCCTCCTCTTCCTCCTCCTCCTCCTCCTCATCCTCCTCTTCCTCCTCCTTCTCTTCCTCCTCCTTCTCTTCCTCCTCTTCCTCCTTCTCTTCCTCCTCCTCCTCCTCCTCCTCCTCCTCCTCCTCCTCCTCCTCCTAGTCAGCGTCCTACCAGAAGGAACGGAACGCCAAATACCAAGACAAAGTCAGGACGAGGATAACATCGGGTGAGGATAGATCGGGAATCTCTGAAATCCGGCGGCTCTGGAGGATGTCTCGGGCGCCGCGGCCTTCTCAGAGCGCTCCAGAACGCCCTGAGATCGTTCTGAGACGCTCTGGAACAAATTTATCCTCGTCCTAGCCCCGCCAGAGAACGGCCATGTTGGGTCACGGCGACGCTGGGAATCTGGTTTTTGCGGCGCCGAACTCGCGCAGAGCGAAGTGTAGGTACACGAAGCCACGAATCACACGTTCCTATATTTCAAACACGCGAATGTGTCGAACAAAGGCGATACAGATAATTGCAGGAAGCCGCGAACCACGCTTTACTGTAATGGGGCCGGTCACGAACCACCCCAACCTACAATGCCGAAGCCTACATCGCTGGTGCCTACATCGCGGTTAGCGCGTCTACAGAAATAAGACACGAAAGGGCTTTCCTGGCCGTGGCAAGCCTGGGCTTCGAGTATAGGAAGGGCCAGGAAACCGCAGCCCCTGCTGAGCCCAAGGTGGTCCTTATTTCCGAGTCTTGACCGTAGGGGCAGAGCTGAGGCTGAGAGGAAAATCGGTCTAGGCGGCCCCCAGGAGAAGGAAGTGTGGGCATCCAGCTGGGCTCGTGCTCCAGCCTCACCTTGGGAGATCCGGGGGGGGGGACTTCGGGAGCTCTGGGCGCCAAGACGCAGCCAGGACAGGGACAACCTCGCAGCAGGACAAGATCGGGGACCTCTGAGATCCAGCGGTTCTGGAGGATGCATCGGGCGCCGCGGCCGTCTCAGAGCGTTCCAGAACGCTCTGAGAGCCTTCTGGAACGCTCTTCCTCCTCCTCCTACCTCCCTCCTCCTCCATTCTCCTCCACTCACTTCCCTCCTCCTCTCCTGGTTCTCTTCTCGGTGCGAGCTCAACGATCGTGCTGTCCATCGGCTCGCGCGCTGGAACGTCCACGGATCTGGTCCTCACGTCTGTGGCCATCTCTGGATTCTACTCGTTCGATTGGACTTGCACAAGCTCGCATGGACGTACCTCGGTTTTCCTAGCTCCGTCCCCGAAGACAGATGCAGCATGGCTCCAACACCGAACCGCACCGCCCGAACCGAACCAGGCCGAACCGAACCGGCGTGAACCCGGCGCATTCCAAGCGCAAACCGAACCGATCCGAAGTGCTCCCAGGGTACCTGAAGACGTGAGGCATACCATGGGGTGCCGGTCGCAGCCCCAGAAGGACTCCAAGTCGGCAGAAGATCGTGTCCCGTGGCCGCCAAGGGGCCCCCCGCTGACCTCGCAAGGCGGCTTCAGGGAGCCTCCACTTGGCACGCTGCTCGCGCACTTCGTGCCGCATGGCGCCCCCCGGCGGCGCTGAGCCCGACCCCCGAGACGGCTCCAGGGATCCCCAGACCGGCACGCCCCTCCCGCCCCGCACGTCGTGCCTCCACGGCCCTCCCTGGGCGCCCAGACGGCCCCTCGAGGCGGCTCCACAGCGGGAGCCCCGAGTCGGCACGACCCCTCGTGCGCTTCGTGCTCCTGGACCTTTTGGGGAGCTCCATAACCAGCCTCGAACTTATCCCTATCCCTACGATGGGCGAGCAAAAAGCGAGGACAACCCTAGGGACAGGCCCTCAGAAACTTGAGGGAATCCTCAAGATCGGCATCGAGGTCAGGAGATGCCAAACATTGGGATAGGGATATGCTTCAAACTGGTAACCCCCGGAGCAGCGCCGCCGGCCCTCGGGAGACCGCTCGGGGGAGCCCCACGGCCGCGCCCCCCTCGCGCGCTGCGCGCCTCGTGGGCCCCCCTCTGGTGGCCGTCGTCTCTCGCCCGGCCGCTCCCGAGACGGATCGGTGGAGCCCCGCCTCGCCGACCAGCCATAACTGGGGGAGCGGTGGTCCTTACCCCCCTGGGGGAACCCATCGCATCGACGATCTCTCGAGAGGGGTGTCGAAATCGATGGATCCCCCAGGGGGGTAAGGACCACAGCTCCCCCAGTTGTGGCTGGCCTGCTTCGGCGCACCGATTCCGCACTCTGTCGTCCCCAGGAGCCCTTCGGGGGCGCTCGGCTGGCTTCAGAGCACTCTTGTCGGAACCCTCCTCACGCACTTCGTGCCCCACAGATCTTTGGGGGCGCTCGGATGGTCTCTTGAGGTGGTCGTAGGGAGCAGTCTTGTTATGGTATGTGTTGGTCACGCACCCCGTGGCCCAGGGACGTCCAGAGGCCCTCGGCTGGCCCCCAGAGGCCCAGAAGGTCAAGGCCACAGGAGGCTCCAAGATGACCTCCAGGAGACCTCTCGGTAAACAACTGTCAAGGATTGGCCCCGTCTTTGCAAAACGGCCCTCAGACTCCCCAGGGGACGCCAAGACGCCCCTCCGACCCCTAAAGGGAAGCTGAGATAATCTGAAGAAAAAACGCAACGACTGCTGACCCCCGCCGAGACCGTACCTCGACACACGCAATGACTCAGATATTAGCCTGTTCCTCACCCCTTGGGAGCCCTCCGTGACTCCCGCGATGCGGGCTCACTGATCTAGGCGCCGCTAACAGAAATCCTACCTATACGACCACCCTTCGGGTGATAAGGAGGTTCGGGGGGGAGGAGCAAACGTCTCACTCTATCATCTCACTATCGATACCACGATCGATCGCACTATCGATCTCACTATCTCACTACCGATGCCACTATCGATCTCACTATCGATCACACTGTCGGTCCCACCATCGATCTCACGATACACCGTACTATCGATCCCACTATCGATCTTACCATCGATCTCGCTATCGGTCTCATTATTGATCTCATATCGGTCTCACTATCGATTATTGACATCACGATCGACCTTACGATCGATATCATATCGATTTCACAATCGGTTTGACTATCGATTTCCTTACGGGACACTGGCGGGACACCGACTGGACACCGGCAGGACACCCGCGGGACACTCCCAACCACCGCCGGACAACCCTGGGCCAGGGGGCGGTCTTTTGCCTGGCGGCACTCGAGCCAGAAGAGGGTTAATTCTTCCCGCCTGCCCACATAACTTCGCCTCGCCCGCACGCACGACACGAAAACGAAACCAAAACCGATTTCCCCTGTGGGGAGCTCTCCGTTTCACTGCGATCTCCCCCCTCCACTCCAATGAAGAGGCCAACAAAGCATTTGCAACTTACTAACCTCGTTACGTCTTTAGTTTTTGGTCCCCCCCCCTGGAGCTCTCCGCGGTGAATAAACTCGTCCCGAAACTCGTCCGCTTCCGAAACCTCTCCTCCTCCTCAAAGTGCAGCTCTCGCCTTAGCTTCGCGCACATTCGTCTTAAAAGCTTGCAACAGTTTCAAGGATGGAGGGCTCAAAGTGCAGATCTCGCCTTAGCGCCGCGCACATTCGTCTTAAAAGTTTGCAGCAGTTTCAAGGATGGAGGGGGCTCGTGTTGTTCAAAGTGCAGCCCTCGCCTCAGCGCCGCGCACATTCATCTCAAAAGTTTGCAACAGTTTCAAGGATGGAGGGGGCTCGTGTTGTTCAACGTGCAGATCTCGCTTTAGCGCCGCGCATATTCGTCATACAAGTTTGCAACAGTTTCAAGGATGGAGGGCTCGTGTTGTTCAAAGTGCAGATCTCGCCTCAGCGCCACGCACATTCGTCTTAAAAGTTCGCAACAGCTTCAATTGAGTGTTTCGAGCACAAAATCGCGGCCGAAAACAAAATATGTGCCCGCTATTGTTCGCGCGGGCGCTGTTGTCTGGGGGTTGTTCCTCCCAGGGAATAATGCCGCATGGGCAACCTTACACGCGTGAGGATTTTTGAGGACATTCGTAAGACGGTTGTAATGTAGAATTGTTGTTCGGAATTCTTGAAGTGGTTCCTGCTCGCGCTGTCTTGGAATTGTCTTGGAGCCACCATGAGCCATCTTGAAAGGATTCTGAAACCATCGCGGCCGAAAACAACATATTTGCCCGCTATTGTTCGCGCGGGCGCTGCTGTCTGGGGTTGATCCTCCCAAGGAATAATGCCGCATGGGCAATCCTACACGCGTGAGGATGTTTGAGGACTTTCGTAAGACGGGTGCTTTGAGGAAAACAGTTACAAGGATGGAGGGCGCATGTCGATCGAAGTGCAGATCTCGCCTTAGCGCCGCGCGCTCTCGTCTTAAAAATTGGCAACGGTTTCAAGGATGGAGCGCGCATGTTGTTCAAAGTGCAGCTCTCGCCTTAGCGCCGTGCACTCTGGCTTTAAAAGTTTGCATTAGCTTCAAGGATAGAGGCCGCACGTTGATCAAAGTGCAGCTCTCGTCTCAGCGCCGCGCGCATAAAGCTTGCAACAATTGCAAGGATGGAGGGCTGGTGTGGTTCAAAGTGCAGCTCTCGTCTCAGCGCCGCGCACTCTCGTCTTAAAAGTTTGTAACAGTTACAAGGATCGAGGGCTGGTGTGGTTCAAAATCCAGCTCTCGCCTTAGCGCCGCGCACATGCGTATTCGTCTTCGTCGTCGCATCGCTGTCGTAGTCGCAATCGCACACGTACTCGTTATCGTCTTCGTCTTCGTCTTCGTCGTCGGACCGCCCGAACTATAATTATTTTCCGCTATTGTCGGGCGGGGTCGGTTTTCCGAGTTGTCAACAAATTCGCCCGAACGATATTTATTTTCCATCTACTGGCCAGGGGATTTCTAAAGACTTAATGGGGTTATCTGCATGTGACTTGCATGCAATTGCGTGATCCACAATTACCGCTGTTCGCCTACATTTGCCAAATATCATGGACTGGGTTACGCGGCAGTGCCGTCACCCATGCGCTGCCTCAAGCTGTTCTTGGCATGCTGCTTCGAGCGCAACATGACGCTGCAGAGCTTCTTCCACAGATGCGCCCCAAGTGAAAGCACCATGGTTCCTGCAGATGAGAGCGATGCAATTCGGCACTTTGCCGATGTTTGCAACGATCTCTTCACACTCGGCATAATCATCAGAGAAACCTAGCCAATCGTGGTAGGCAACTCGTCCGGCAAACATGGAGTCAGCAGGGACTTTCAGACCACCTTGCAGACACGACACTGCTTCAAGGTACGGCGCGTGAGTGTGAATGACAGCATTGGCCGGCACTGCCGAGTAAACAGCGGAGTGAAGGACCATGGCAGTACAATTTTTGGACTCTAGCAGAAGATGTTGTGGTTCAATACGATCCCAAAGTCGATCGCCGGGAGTCACCAGGAAACGATCATTCAATCGCGCAGAAATGTGGTTCCAGATAAGTTCATCGTGCCCTCTGCTATGAATTTCGCGATGTGCATTTGCCAAGGCCATGCGCACGGACTCCTCCTCGGTGGAGGGCTGCTGCTCTTGAAGTGCCTGGGCTGGGCTCATGCTGGCCATGACTGCAGGCCACTCCACTCCCGCAGCGAAGTCGTCGTTCTCCTGAGTCTGCTTCGCGGCATGCTCCCAAATTGCGTCCTCAACCTCAATCACCGGTTGGCTTCCAACCAGTAGGTGACGCTTGCATGTTTTGTTGAGGTACCAAGCGAGCGTAAATGCCGCACCAACGGATTTTGCCTTCACGAATGCGGCCCCCTGGCCACACATTTCGCGGACGAAAACCACCGTCACATCCTGCTTCCCTTCAAGCTCTAGTGAAACGTCAAGAACAGAGTTGCAATGAATCGTCGATCTATAAAAAAAGACGCCGCCCTGGGCGAGAGGCCTTATACCAGGCAACTTGCAAACGGCCTGTACAGCAGGTGTACGAATAGCCACCACGAAGTTGGCATTGGAAGATGTGGCATGTTTTTGCAGATCACGGTGAACTGGAGGAAGCCGCTCCACTGGAAGAAACTCACCGCCAGGCCACGACTTTGCAGAACAGCTTCCCACTGGCCTGAGAGATATCTCGATGTTGGCGGGAGCATCCAAAAGACCGTGCCGAGTAAGCATACGCGCGAGAGACTGCACATCCCCTTCACTAGGCTCTAGCTCAGTAAGCTGAGCCGTTCGCCTGGAAAATATGTACGCCAGCCCTGATGTCACACTGCTCCAACAAGTAACCATAACGACTACAGCCGTGTCAAATACTCAACCGCTCAGCAGACTGCCGTGATATTACAGGTTGTGGCTGAGCCTTGCCGATTGATGTGAAACCGACCTCAAGCAAGGTGCTCTGAACAACGATGACTTGGACCACTAAACGTGC